TATTTATATATTTTCAGTTATAAAAGATTTGATGAGTAAATCATAAAATTATATAATTTCAATATATTTTTAAAATATGAAGAATAATATCATTTATAATTGTTGACATTTACTAGTGAAATTTTCTATTTGAGCCAAGTCCCGTGTTTTTTTCTTCTTGGACTTTTTACATTAAAAATTCTAATATATATAGCAACTCTTCCTTTATTTATATTTATGTGTGCAAGATTTTCATATAATTCTAAGAGTTAGGGCATCTCCAACCGTACTCTTTATTTTCCACTTCAAAATATTGTAATAGCTATATTAAACAGCAATTCATCTCTGAGCGAACTTCATTTCTAACCCACAAAAGAATATTTCATGTAGATTCTTTCTCATCTCAATATTAAAAAAAAAAAGGTCTTTGTGAATAATTCGGCGCCCTTTTCACAGCCGTAAAAAATGTGTTTCTTTTTGGAGTTTTAATGCAGGCTTGCAGTAGTTGCAAACGGATGTTTGCAGTTCGGCTGGATATGCCCTTAACCGGTCTTTTTTTGTTGATGTTCTCATGTCCCAAAGAGGGAGACTAACAAACCTAATTTATAGGCTTCTAACTAGAGGTGTCAATTTCGGGTCACGGGTCGGGTTCGGGTCGGACCCGGAACTGACCTGGGTTCAAACGGGTCGACCCTAACCCGACTCGGTTAGGTAAACGAGTCGGAAATGCAAACCCGGACCCGACCCGGCGGGTTGCCGGGTTGACCCGACCTGACATGGGAACTGTCGCGCGGGGCGGGTTGCACGGAGCTTTCGTGTGGGGTGAGTGCGCGGCGATGCGGCACAACTGGGGTCGCGGACAGCAGGGTCGCGCGGTGGTCGCTTGTCGCGGACAGCGGGTTTCGCGCTGGGGTCACGAGGGGTCGCGCTGGGGTCGCGGACAGCGGGGATGCTGGGGTCGCGCGCGGTCGCGACAGGAAAAAGCGGGTTCGCGGGTCGCGCTGGGTCGCGAAAGGAGAAAGCCGGTTCGCGAGTTGACCCGGCAACCTGTCGGGTCAACTCGAACGCCGACCCATTTTTCAAAGCGGGTCGATTTCTGGAACCGAACCCCCCGTTTTAAACCGGTGTCGGGTCCAACCCGAATTTTTCGGGTCGGTTCCGGGTCGGGTTTTCGTGTTGTGTCAAATATTGACACCCCTACTTCTAACAACTCCCAACAAAATTAGACTCGTGTGCTTTTGCATTGATGCATCTTCTGTTGGATATTGGTCAAGAATTTAGGTTCTTTTTTTGGTACTTTCTCTAGGTTTCTTTAGTTTGTGTTGCCTTTAGTATAGCTTTTTATGTCTATAAATAATTGTAATATGTTGTAATAGTGACATGCCATAATACACAAGTTCTGTTCATATTCTTCCATCTATTTATCACTCTCTTCTCTCATGGGGAAATTATTGGGTTCGGTCAGTGGACGCATCTCTATACATCCGAAATCCAATAGGATGATGCCACGTTGCGACCCGACGACCCGACAAAATCTCTCGATTTATTTAGCAGTAACTTCTTGCTTGTGTTGAAGTGTTTAAAAGCTTCTCTTCATCTCTGGAAGATTCTACATCTTCTTTTGTTGCCTATTTTGATTATTATATACTTGTAAGATTTTGTTGACACCAATTTGATTTATATTTGCTTATATTTAAATCATATTTTTTTTTTTACTTACAATCTACTCATTAATTCCAATCAAATCTTAATTAGTCAATTGATCCAATCCTCCATCTTCAAGCTAATTTAATAGCATAACCCAATAACTGTCCTTCCACACAATACTCTACAAAACTTCAAGGAAAAAAAAAAAAAACTAAGTACTATGCTCAGTATTAAAGTTGGAAAAAATTATATTAACATATTTTAATATAAAATATATAAATTTAAATTTCTCAAATTTTATCTAAACTAATGCTAACATTTACATATTATAGCAATTAATATTAATTTAAATAGCAAAATTAAAATAATTTAAAATATATTATAATATAGTCTTAAGATTTCTGTTCGGCGATGAACGTAATGTTTTATAAAATTGATTATGGAGGTTCATAATATTTGTTTTTATGATTATAAAAAATAAATTTTTTAAATTTTTTTAAAAATAATAAATAAATAAATAAAATTAATAATAATTAATAAAAGATTATCCCAAATTTTTTAATTTTTTTTCCTTAATATTGTCTGCTCCCTTAAATCGATAAAGAGAATTGGAGGTGAAGGCAAAATCAGCACTTAGTGCGGTTCAACTACTTCACTGGAAGAGCAAAAAGATTTTTTCTGACCGGGAAAAAAGTAGCAGACTAATGCTTTTTTTTTTTTTCGGTAAAAGTAGGTTTTTTATTTTTATTTTTAAGTATTTTAATTTTCAAAATGAATTAAAATCAAGATGTAAATTTAATATACAATAAATTATAATTTGTAATACATAATTTTTTAATATTTATAAAAAATAATTATACATTAATTTAAAAGATAAATAAGAAATTATTTAGTGCAACTAAAATATATTTTTTTTATGAAAAAAAAAAAATTAATATTCTTTTAACTAAGTTAAATTAATTAAAAAAAGAAGGCGAATCTACTCACATTTTTGTTTAAACGGTTGATTGTTGCACTTTAAATTTACTTTAAAAATTTATATATTTTTTTTATCCTAAATTTAAGATAAAAGATTTTTTTTGGTTTGGGTCTCTTAACTCTCTTAAGAGATTCTTTTATAATATATAAGAATAAACGAATATAACAGGCAATTAAATTGTATTCTGAAATACATTTGAATATTAATATTACTTTTTAAAATTATGCAATATTAACTTTTTTTATATGCAGTTCAAAACAGATTGAATAATTTTTGAAAGTTTCTTAAGAAAATTTGTATCATAATATTACGATATAAAATTTTTAAATAATAATAATTTTTTCATAGCTAAGGGCTTTTTAGCACATACAATCAAAAACAAACAAAAATTTACAGGAAAATAGTAAAATACCAACCAATTATAAAAATCATGAGTCTTTTCTAATTAATCACTTTTATCAATTTTTATGTATTCTGCATAAAATAAGTGGAAAAAATTATATACATTTGCGGAGATAAAAGGCATGGTTTTAGAAACTAAATCGGATAAGCCAGGTGAACCGCTGTTCAACCGTGAACTCATTAAAATTGTCTTGCAGGAAACCAGAGAAAAATTGGCTAAGATTCTGATTAAA